GCATGTAGCATAGTGATTAGTGGCTAGTCAAAATTTGGATTCAAGTCCTGTCTCTGAAATATACTAGCTATGTGACATGGGCAAGCCCACAGGTGATTCTCTGAGTCTTCAAGTTATAGAGTTGTTGATTTGTATTATTGGAAGAAGATTCCAAACTAGGAGGTCCCTAGACTAATAAAATGATAGGTATAGACAAAAAAAGAAATAAAAAATGAAAAATAAAAAATAAAATAAAAGGATGTCCATAAGAATCCAGGAGCAATATCATGTGGGAGGGCAAAATCAATGAGATTAACAGACAGGAACATCTAAGAATGCCAAATACCTAAAAACAAAACAAAACAAAACAAACAACCCCCCCTGCCAAAACAAAACACCCTCACTCTGTAACTACAGTCATCACTTAAATTTTTCTACTATGTTCACTGAACTTCCGTGGTTATATATTGTGCAAAATAAGCTCATTGTACTTTTGCTAAAATCAAATTTTTAAAAAAATCCATTATAGTAGATTTTCTTACTACCCTCAATCTCAGTGGCCTTAAGCCAAAACTCTCCCTAGCCCAAAACTTATTGGTTTAAATTTTATGAAAGGTAATTAGTGAATAATAGGGGTAGTCTGCTACTCAGCCAGCTTTCTGTTGAATAGCTTAACTAAGCAGAGAGGTGTTATTTTTAATCATACCTCTTGCTGAATTTAGTCATGATTTACTATTGATAAATCAATCCAATGAAAGGACTGAACACTTTCTGCCAACTTACCTGAAATTCAGATACTTGCCCAACAGAATGCTTTTAATTAAACTAGTGCTATCACTGCTAAGGTTAAAATCTGAGGGATGACTTTCAGATATATGAGGGTATCAAGTGGATAAGGCTAATTAAGGTGTGTCCCGCAAATTACTTTAAATTTGCCTTCTAATGCTGATATAGCTATTTTAAGTGAAAAATAACATCTTTTTCTATGTTATAATAATATATAACATTGATTTAAGCATTTTAAGGTTTTGTAGAATCTTGGACAATTAACTCATTTGGGCATACCCTGAGGTAGCTACTTGTTTTATTACCACTCCCAGTTTGTGGATAAATAATGTGAGGTTTATTAGACTGAATTATTTGTCTTAGGTCAACCAACTATTAAACAATGGAAGTGGGATTTGTAAACAAATCCCTCCTCACTCCAAGACCAGAACTCCTATAACAATATAATACTGTTCCTTAATGGTGATCACATTTGAATGGGGGAGAATCCTCAAAATGAATTACTAATTTCCCTGTTCAAATTTAAGAATGTGCCTTGTGGTGGAAGAACAATGTGTTCATACTGTTTCAGATTTAACTCTATGGTTTTGTCACACTGTTGAAATAAAATATGCCCACTAAAACTGACTATGGCTTCCCTAACATTTGCCTGCAGGGAAAATCAGTTGAAAGTCAATGCATATCACTGTAGGCTGGCTAGGAGCATGGGATGGCTTGCAAAAATATTGTGAGAACTTTAAGTACTAAGGTGGGGAACATTCTTTATATGCAAATGGAACAGTTGCACTGCACTCCATTCCATCAATAATAGGTCAGACTCAGATGTTATCAGCCCAAGTGAAGAAATAAAACAAATACTGCCTTCTTCACTGGTTTGCCTGAATATAATTGTCAGCATGGAAAACTAACTGCAAATGGGCTATAGAGCAGAACCTTGGTTATTAAGACATATGTCTGAGCCAAGTAACTTCCCTGTGTAATTCAATAACTCTCCCTATTTACATCCCTGTAGGTTTTTCTACATTTTATTCTTTGATATTTCCCTTATTCCTTTAAGAAAATATTGCAATAAAACAAACTCCCTACAGTAAAGTAGATACTAACCCTTCCTTGCACAGAAATTGCTTTGGAAACCTTCCTTCTTTCATATTCCTCGAGGTTTATTTTATTTGGTTTTAGAAATTCAACTATGTAGCCACAGAGTAAAAAAATTTTGGGTGATAAAAGGGACAAGAGGTATGTGAAGGCCTGACAACACATGACTGCCTCTGCTAGTTAAAAAAACAAAACAAAACAAAACAAACAAAACTATTTAAATGAGAATTCAGTAATTCGTAAAAAGAAACAGGATGGTTTTTTTTTGGGGGGGTGGGAAGAAAGGGAAGTGTGTATGGAATAGTTGTGTTGTGTTTCCTTGAGGTTTATGTGCATAAGACCTTGTGATTATTTATGGGTGGCAGTGGTAAAGTTCTGTTTTTTAAGGTAAACATTAATGTGTATTTAAGGAAGAGATTAAGCTGGTTTGCTTTTGAGAAACTGGGCATTCTCTAACTGATTCCAAACTGCTTGCCACTTGCAAAAGCCTATTTCTAAAAGACCAATATTCTCCCAGTAATAGTCACCAAGGAATGCATGTATGTCATGGAAAATGAAAGTTACCAGCAAACCAAAAGACAACTGAAAGACATGGCAGGAATATAAGCAGGTTACAGAATGTTTCTAATGACGACTTGTGTTAAATAAATGACATATAAGATTACCTAGGCCTGGGAAAAAAGGTGAGCCACTTGGAGAACAAAAATGAGAGACAACAGATGGATAACTTGGGAGTTAGCTGTTGTTCACAATATACTGAAAACAAAACAAAAAGAAAAAAAATAGGATAAAGATCTCTAGAGAGGGGTATATCCTCTATGAAGAATTTTTTTTTTTAAAGAATGAATAAGAATAACACAGGATGAGAAGGTGTGCAAAGGTTGCCGATTATATGGCTGGAGGAAGCAATCCCATTGATGATATCAAAAAGTCTTTCATCATATTAATTTCTGTGTATAAATGTTTCCCAATATCAGGTTAAAAATATGATTGAAATAAACCAGAAAATGAGCACGTGTGGTTTGGGAAAGCATAAACATTTTCTGACATGTCACACCCACAGAAATACATTGATTTTTCTTTCTAGCTACACCATTTTGTACCTTTCTTGAGCTAAGCTTTATTGTTAATATATTCCTTTAACTATTTGCAAAGCAGTAATAAATATTCAATGGCTTAGGAAGAGAAGATTCCTCATGCCTACTTCTAAATTACAGTTTAAAGACTCAAGACTATGTTGGTCTAAAATATATCTTCAAGTATTCTTTTGTTGTGTAGACTACAACAGTAGTACCTTATTGCACATTATTTCTGGCAAATCTTCCTTCCTTCCTTCCTTCCTTCCTTCCTTCCTTCCTTCCTTCCTTCCTT